TCCTCTTGCTCACAAAATTACACTGTCCCTTGAGACCTAAAAAGAATTAATAGGTATGATGAAGGTTAATCTAATAATTTTAAGATACATATCTCTAAATACATTAATTTGTTGCCACAAAAAAAAAAGATTACCATTTTAGCTTGCGCGGGAGACTTCGCTTCACACAAGAAGTTGTCTTCACCGTCTTTTTCCCCCCTTTTTTTTTTATGCTTTTGCTCTTTCGGCAAAAAAAAAAAGGCATCATGGCACTTTCAATCAGTTCATTTATAAAGAAATAGAAAGTGTCAGTACGTTGGTGGTCATCAGTCAAGAATCACCCAATAATCGTTGGACAAATTTGATAAATTCAAACTGTTTCGGGATTTTGAATACGAGATAAAAACAAAGGATTAAAGTTTAATTTCAAATAGAGACAAGATATAAACATGAATGCATTGAATTCGAATTTTAATAATTTTTTTCCTCTAAATGGTAGATTTCACTTTTTGTTCTTTTTAAGCTTCTATATTTTGGCTGGGAAGTTGGCACAGCAGATTCATTCTAAAAATACTGTACAATGTAAATAATTTTATACGGAATGTTAATGAACGTTAGACGAATCTATTTGACACTATTGAATAATAGACTTATAAAAATCTACTCTATTTTATATTATAAATTTTGTTAAAAAAATAATATTTGCGTCAAGCAAATATCAACCTGCAGATTTTAGGCACCCATCCTCACAATAATCGGATCAAAAATATTGGACCAATCACGGCTACGAATCTATATCGATATAATAACACATAATCCTGCTTACACAAAGCACAATAATGATACAGATTGTTTAAATCCGACAATTTATGTTACAATTGAAATTTTAACCTTTTAACCACAATTTATTTACATTTAACCTTTAAACCTCGATTAAAAAAAACTGTGCAAAACACCCTAGAGCTATGATAATATGTGAAAGTCACACCAAAACCACATTAAATTCCCACATGCCCCTGAAGGAAGGAACAGCAGAATCTGCACCTCCCTAAAACTGAAGTAAAACCTNGAGTGGGCTTTGTTCTTTCCACTTGTATCAACTGCACATATGTTCTGGGCTATTCTGGTACTATCATGGTTCTTGTTGGTTGGATATGAGGTCTGATTGTAGCCACAGTCTTTTTATTGTGTGCAAATTCTCTTGTTGCTAAGCTTCACATATTTTGGAGAAAGGTGCATATCAGATAGAGACCTTGCAGGCTTTATATATTTTATCGTATGTGCAGAAAAAGGAGGAGAACTATATCCTTTATATCATTTCCATACCTCTTTGTTGTTAGCATAAAATTGTATGATCTATTTTAACTGCTTTCACTGTTACAGGTCAGAAAGCTTATAGTCTTACAAGGGCATTCCATTATGTGAACCTCTTTTTGATTAACACTGGATATATATCATTTTGGCTGGTCAGATGCTAAAGGAATATCAATTCAAAGGAATGGGCTCTTCTGGTCCAACTACATCTACACTAGAAAGGAGAATCCCTTGTAAAATGTCGGAGAAATTGGAAGCACTACCAGTCAGTTAAGCAAGGGAAGGATCTTTTGGGTTGTCACTTCTCTCTTTCCCTCTCTCTCTGCTACTTTCTTTAATTATCTCTCTTATGACTATACAAATTCAGTAAATTAATGTTTGAAGCAGCAATATGAACATGTCCATTGGCAATTGGAATTTGAACAATGAAAATTGAGGTCTTCCAGATTCTTTGCAAGCACACACATCGTCTCTGTTTTTTGGTCTCTTCATTTTCTAGTCCTTTAGTGTCTCTGCTCGTGTTTTTAGGAATCTCACCACTTTTTTTATCATCATGCAGTAACTAAACCAAGCAATTGCATAATCGTTCTTGGATGTCTTTCAAAAAATTCAAGACCACTGTTTATCTATTCTCTTTTTTTTTTGTCAAAAGATGATCTTGGAGCTTATGTAATATCTTACTCTCAAACTCTGCATATACATTAGTTATTGGGAAAACCCAAGTACTCCCTTTCGGATTCAAAAAACCAACTTCAAATATTTCTGTTGTTGTGTTGGATCCACAATTAATCTTATGGATAATTCGGATTGATGTATTCTTTTATATCCTATAGTTTTCCCGTAATTGGGAGAATTTTGAATTAGAGTTAGAGATTTGTGTTCATCCTTGGCCGTGTTGTTGTTGATACCTTCTTCTCAGTTCCTTCTTACAATATCTGAGCTTTGAGAAGGANATATTCTTTTATATCCTATAGTTTGCCCGTAATTGGGAGAATTTTGAATTAGAGTTAGAGATTTTTGTTCATCCTTGGCCGTGTTGTCCCATAATAAAATTAGTTGTTGTTGATACCTTCTTCTCAGTTCCTTCTTACAATATCTGAGCTTTGAGAAGGAAGAGATAAGGGGGTCCTATGAAAAATGTGGTTGGAAATCAAATGTTGAATCATATCCATAATACGATGGGCTGTATATAACTCGTTGGCATCTCTATACTCTCTCCGTTCTTAAATATCTGTCGTTTTACACAATTTTTTTGTTTCATAATATCTATCGTTTAATGAAACCAAAACATAATTAATATTTTTTCTTTCAAATTTACCCTTAATTTTTCAATACATTAGATTTGATGGAGGCTAAGTGTCTTTCATATTCTTTTCTTTTCCAATATGTATTGAATGAGAGTATTTTAGTCTTATGCAATTATTTTTTACTCATATTAGAGTTATTTAATAGCTTCCTTAATCTCTGTGCAAAAACCTTAAACGACAGATATTTAGGAACAGAGGGAGTAGCTTTTAACTGTTGCAATTTGCAGTTCTAATGGCTGTAATTTTTAGTATGAATACTGGGATATTGTCCTAGCTTGAATATATTAAAATCTATGAATTGAACAATCTTTTTTGTTTTTAACCCTTGTTAATTTTTTAGCTCATAGTTCTTTAATTAAGAATATGCTCACAAGTGATTGTTATTCTTTGTTTGATTCTTTTGGTATTATTTAATGTTGTCTACATTTTGATTTATTATGGATAACTCGTGTCTGAAAGTACGATACAATATAAATGATTTTGAAAAGGATATTGGCGACCGTTAGATAAGTCTATTTGAGACCGTTGAATGAATTTATTAAAGTCTGTCCTATTTTATATTATAGATTTACACACATTAAATGAAAATCTACTCATTATTATTTTATCGTTACGAATCTAGATCAGTTGATCAGTTCTCCAAACTGTGCTGAATAAGACTTGAACATTTTCAAGAAAAACAACAACAATATCTAGGCCATTAATCGAAAACATTATGTTCAATCACTTCAATTGAGAAATTTTTTTCTTTCTTTTCTTTTCTTTTTCTTTGGGATAACGTGAGAAATTTTTAGTCTGTCTTCTTCGGTGAATAACAAAGACTCATTATTTTTTTAAAAGATATGGTTGAATTTAAATCATACCCACACCTGAACCTGGGCCGACGTGCACCTAGGAACCGAAGTTCATATAAGTGTTTGCTCCTCTTGCTCACAAAATTACACTGTCCCTTGGGACCTAAAAAGAATTAATAGGTATGATGAAGGTTAATCTAATAATTTTAAGATACATATCTCATAAATACATTAATTTGTTGCCACAAAAAAAAAAAGATTACCATTTTAGCTTGCGCGGGAGACTTCGCTTCACACAAGAAGTTGTCTTCACCTTTTTTTTTGCCCCCTTTTTTTATGCTTTTGCTCTTTCGGCAAAGAAAAAAGGCATCATGGCACTTTCAATCAGTTCATTTATAAAGAAATAGAAAGTGTCAGTACGTTGGTGGTCATCAGTCAAGAATCACCCAATAATCGTTGGACAAATTTGATAAATTCAAACTGTTTCGGGATTTTGAATACGAGATAAAAACAAAGGATTAAAGTTTAATTTCAAATAGAGACAAGATATAAACATGAATGCATTGAATTTGAATTTTAATAATTTTTTTTCCTCTAAATGGTAGATTTCACTTTTTGTTCTTTTTAAGCTTCTATATTTTGGCTGGGAAGTTGGCACAGCAGATTCATTCTAAAAATATTGTACAATGTAAATGATTTTATACGTTAGACGAATCTATTTGAGACTATTGAATAGACTTATAAAAATCTACTCTATTTTATATTATAAATTTTGTTAAAAAAATAATATTTGCGTCAAGCAAATATCAACCTGCAGATTTTAGGCACCCATCCTCACAATAATCGGATCAAAAATAATCGGATCAAACAAATTGGACCAATCACGGCTATGAATCTATATCGATATAATAACACATAATCCTGCTTACACAAAGCAAGCACAATAATAATGATACAGATTGTTTAAATCCGACAATTTATGTTACAATTGAAATTTTAACCACAATTTATTTACATTTAACCTTTAAACCTCGATTAAAAAAAAACTGTGCAAAACACCCTAGAGATATGATAATATGTGAAAGTCACACCAAAACCACCTGCATTATGGGGTTTTAGTTTTTAACACAATTCCCACATGCCCCTGAAGGAAGGAACAGCAGAATCTGCACCTCCCTAAAACTGAAGTANAATTCCCACATGCCCCTGAAGGAAGGAACAGCAGAATCTGCACCTCCCTAAAACTGAAGTAAAACCTGCATGGAGGAAGAAAGTACTTGAAAAAACAGATCCATTTCATCAGTCAAAAATAAAATATAATTAATTTTTCTTTGTTTCCATTTTGACATTGTTACCCCACCACTAGAGACTTCATCAAAGGGAAAATCAAACTGAATTAAGTACAATGTAGACAACTAGCATTTCCATATTCAACACACCAAAAAAAGAAGGAATGGGAACTAAATTACAAGATAAAACTATGCTTGGATTATCAAGTACATCAGCCGAAGGGGAAAACTAACTAAAAACAAAACTGTCAAGATTAAAGGCCAAAAACTCGCAACACTGAACAAAACATTATGTGACAAGTCAACAACAGATACAATCACCAGCCAAGTTTCTTTACCAGGGAAAGGCCACTTACGACCACTACAGCATAGATACTACAGTCCATAAACAATGCACTCATGATGTTTTGCAACAACAAACCAGACTCCAGAGCTTTCCCTACTTGATCAGCCAACCCATACCCACTTATTGAAGAACCATTATTTGCTTCTTGCTTAACCCTCTCTAGGCCTCTCTGTTGTACTAAAAGGAGTCGTGCCAGGACAATTGAGATGTTTGTCAGAAGAAGTAGATAAAGTGGTCTGAAGAATATGATGCACTTTATTATGTGGCTGCCTAGTATAGGCAATCCTACAGAAGACAGAACTACTAAAATGGCGGCTGCTAGAGAACAATAAAAACGGGCATCCCCTGAAGCTCCAATTGCAGAGCTTATCTGAGATGGTGTGAAAAGTTTACGATGATGGATATGAGGCTCAAAATGACGCTCAGTGTTAGGAGTAGAAATGGACAAATTCTGAACTGCTGAAGGAGACAAGTGTAGTTTGTCATCGGGTTCCAAGGCAGATGCTCCAGAGGCTTCGATGCTCGTCTCATATTTCCACATGAAAGGTCCTCTGCTTCCATAATCATTATCATCAAGCTTGCCAAATTCAGTGCCATAATCCTGCTTTGGTAGCAAGCTGCTAAAAGTTTTATCCTCACTCTTCGAGGAAACTGCAACACCACATAATCGATGAGCAAAAAGTAAAAACAGATACCACACAATCAGTGAGCAGTAAGCACCAAGCACCCCTACGTGGAAAAACCTNGCGAGGAAACTGCAACACCACATAATCGATGAGCAAAAAGTAAAAGCAGATACCACACAATCAGTGAGCAGTAAGCACCAAGCACCCCTACGTGGAAAAACCTCATCTATCAAGTATGTTTCTCTGATACATACAAGGTGGGGAAACTTCCGTCCACCCAACAATGTACTTAAGAAAATAAAGAAACGAAAACTGAAACTGAGGGGATGAAAAAAAAAAATTCTAAGCAAAAAATGCATCGAAGATTCCTTCCTGGTGCCACCACAAAAAAGTTTGAGCTGAACTCTATGCAATTTGATGCATTGTATCTTTCATATTTCAGATACAACTAACATAAAGAGGAATCTCCTATGAATTCTTTCCCACACAGAGTAGACTGAGAAAACACAAGAAGCTATTCGTCTTAGCTGTTGATAAGTCCACCAGAAAAAAGAAAGAAAACCTACAAGGGACCTGTTCTCAAACCTCCTCACAAGTAAAAGTTCACACTTGACATTTGACACACAAAAGAAAGCAGGGCATTGAAAACAGTTCTTCATTCAACTTATGTCAGAACATGGTTTGTGATGGAATCCAAATTTCTTTAAAGGAGATAAGCTCAGTCTTCAATATGCAAACCACATGTGATCACAGGAAAATCCTCAGAAGGCTACAAAGACACAGGCTACCAACCTTGTTTAAACTGTATTCTAATTTACTCAGTGAAGAATGTAAGTAGTTAGATATAAAATCACAGTTTGACTGACTTACGAGCCAAAGTACCAAAAGTAGACACAGGCTACCAACCTTGTTTAAACTGTATTCTAATTTACTCAGAGAAGAATGGAAGTAGTTTTATATAAAATCACAGTTTGACTGATTTACGAGCCAAAGCACCAAAAGTAGAGTAGGAAGCAGTTTCCAAGATGCATCAAAAAGTGCGTATGCATTCTTAATGAAGTTGTGATTTGTCCATCCTCAAAAAGGAGAACAGAAAATTTCAATCGGGAGTATATCAATATAAACTGTACTGGTATTTTGGGTGATGGAATGGTGTGTCCTCATTTAAGTGAACTTAGTGTGGGAATTCCTCCATCAAGGATTTTCTATAAGACTAACCGATCCTTAAAATTTTCTTGCTACTTTGCCGGAACAGAAGACCATCATTTTCAGGATATTTTTGACCAATACAAAGTTTTTGTTGTTTTTTTTTTTTTTGGGTACAGAAGGGGACGCGATTCAAACCCTTCTCTTATTATATGTTGAGAATACATTCTCGCTGGCTTTCTAAACCAGATGTTTATCACTCATCGGACCCTTCTCTTATATGTCACCATAAACATTTCTAGAGCTCCTTTTAAAAGTCAAGTTACAAGCTTTGTGCCTATTGCCTTGGAATTCAATCCGAAAAGTCAACTGAAAATTGGAAATACATTTTTTTCCCAAAAGTCGCTCCAAATTTGGCAATCCTTCAAGTAGTAACTCAAAAGCTCAATTTATTAAAAGGGTTTTCGCCTGATTTGGTCCCTGATAACCGACAGTGCGGGGAAGTATAAACCGGAGATAGAACTAAACATTGGACCCAAAGCGGCTACACAGATTCAATAACGATAAATACAAACAAGTATGCCTGAATAAGAAAATAAATATATACATAGATTTGTAATTAAATAAAGAGAGAGAGAGAGAGAGAGNTGAATTCTTTCCCACACAGAGTAGACTGAGAAAACACAAGAAGCTATTCGTCTTAGCTGTTGATAAGTCCACCAGAAAAAAGAAAGAAAACCTACAAGGGACCTGTTCTCAAACCTCCTCACAAGTAAAAGTTCACACTTGACATTTGACACACAAAAGAAAGCAGGGCATTGAAAACAGTTCTTCATTCAACTTATGTCAGAACATGGTTTGTGATGGAATCCAAATTTCTTTAAAGGAGATAAGCTCTGTCTTCAATATGCAAACCACATGTGATCACAGGAAAATCCTCAGAAGGCTACAAAGACACAGGCTACCAACCTTGTTTAAACTGTATTCTAATTTACTCAGTGAAGAATGTAAGTAGTTAGATATAAAATCACAGTTTGACTGACTTACGAGCCAAAGTACCAAAAGTAGACACAGGCTACCAACCTTGTTTAAACTGTATTCTAATTTACTCAGAGAAGAATGGAAGTAGTTTTATATAAAATCACAGTTTGACTGATTTACGAGCCAAAGCACCAAAAGTAGAGTAGGAAGCAGTTTCCAAGATGCATCAAAAAGTGCGTCTGCATTCTTAATGAAGTTGTGATTTGTCCATCCTCAAAAAGGAGAACAGAAAATTTCAATCGGGAGTATATCAATATAAACTGTACTGGTATTTTGGGTGATGGAATGGTGTGTCCTCATTTAAGTGAACTTAGTGTGGGAATTCCTCCATCAAGGATTTTCTATAAGACTAACCGATCCTTAAAATTTTCTTGCTACTTTGCCGGAACAGAAGACCATCATTTTCAGGATATTTTTGACCAATACAAAGTTTTTGTTGTTTTTTTTTTTTTGGGTACAGAAGGGGACGCGATTCAAACCCTTCTCTTATTATATGTTGAGAATACATTCTCGCTGGCTTTCTAAACCAGATGTTTATCACTCATCGGACCCTTCTCTTATATGTCACCATAAACATTTCTAGAGCTCCTTTTAAAAGTCAAGTTACAAGCTTTGTGCCTATTGCCTTGGAATTCAATCCGAAAAGTCAACTGAAAATTGGAAATACATTTTTTTCCCAAAAGTCGCTCCAAATTTGGCAATCCTTCAAGTAGTAACTCAAAAGCTCAATTTATTAAAAGGGTTTTCGCCTGATTTGGTCCCTGATAACCGACAGTGCGGGGAAGTATAAACCGGAGATAGAACTAAACATTGGACCCAAAGCGGCTACACAGATTCAATAACGATAAATGCAAACAAGTATGCCTGAATAAGAAAATAAATATATACATAGATTTGTAATTAAATAAAGAGAGAGAGAGAGAGAGAAAAGCCTGTGGAGAGTTGATCGGTGGGATCAGGAGAAATCGTGGGAGGGCAGGAGGCTGTGTGAGAGTGATTTGATTCTGATTCTGGTGTAGAAGAAGAAGGGAGGGATGAAATTTGGCCGGAGATGAGAGCTAGACGTTCCGATCCTCTCTCCATGATACGGCGTCGTCGCGCCTCTCTGCTGCTCGTTGCCATACCTGTCTACAATTGAAGAGAGAGATCATTAGCTCATCCTACTTCTGGATTGCTTACGGTTCGACATTCTCATTCTTCCTATTTTGCCCTTCGACTTTCTTATGTTTTGCCATTAGTGTCCAATTTATCTTTTTATGTTGTTCTTGATCCATCCCACCAAAAATAAACCCGAATTCCTACGATCACCTGTAAAATTATAGGTATTAGTTTGAAAGATCAAACGATGTTCGAACTCTAACATTCAAGTCCACATTCAATCCCACACCATTGAATTATCCTATCCGTCCCCCACCATTGAATTATCCTATCCGTGCAGTCTTCTTTTTTTTTTTTTTANGTCCACATTCAATCCCACACCATTGAATTATCCTATCTGTCCCCCACCATTGAATTATCCTATCCGTGCAGTCTTCTTTTTTTTTTTTTTATTGTTTTACCAGTTTGCATAATTTAATATTTCTATAACATATAAAAACATACAACGGGATTATAATTATTAATAGATTGAATTTGATTAATTAAATATTAATATATCAGTAGTTCCAGTCGACTACAATCCTATTGAATTTTATATTTATACAAAGAAATAAAAAAAATAATTAAAGAAATTGAGTTGAAACAACAAAGTCCANGCAAACAAGTATGCCTGAATAAGAAAATAAATATATACATAGATTTGTAATTAAATAAAGAGAGAGAGAGAGAGAGAAAAGCCTGTGGAGAGTTGATCGGTGGGATCAGGAGAAATCGTGGGAGGGCAGGAGGCTGTGTGAGAGTGATTTGATTCTGATTCTGGTGTAGAAGAAGAAGGGAGGGATGAAATTTGGCCGGAGATGAGAGCTAGACGTTCCGATCCTCTCTCCATGATACGGCGTCGTCGCGCCTCTCTGCTGCTCGTTGCCATACCTGTCTACAATTGAAGAGAGAGATCATTAGCTCATCCTACTTCTGGATTGCTTACGGTTCGACATTCTCATTCTTCCTATTTTGCCCTTCGACTTTCTTATGTTTTGCCATTAGTGTCCAATTTATCTTTTTATGTTGTTCTTGATCCATCCCACCAAAAATAAACCCGAATTCCTACGATCACCTGTAAAATTATAGGTATTAGTTTGAAAGATCAAACGATGTTCGAACTCTAACATTCAAGTCCACATTCAATCCCACACCATTGAATTATCCTATCTGTCCCCCACCATTGAATTATCCTATCCGTGCAGTCTTCTTTTTTTTTTTTTTATTGTTTTACCAGTTTGCATAATTTAATATTTCTATAACATATAAAAACATACAACGGGATTATAATTATTAATAGATTGAATTTGATTAATTAAATATTAATATATCAGTAGTTCCAGTCGACTACAATCCTATTGAATTTTATATTTATACAAAGAAATAAAAAAAATANACAAACAAGTATGCCTGAATAAGAAAATAAATATATACATAGATTTGTAATTAAATAAAGAGAGAGAGAGAGAGAGAGAGAGAAAAGCCTGTGGAGAGTTGATCGGTGGGATCAGGAGAAATCGTGGGAGGGCAGGAGGCTGTGTGAGAGTGATTTGATTCTGATTCTGGTGTAGAAGAAGAAGGGAGGGATGAAATTTGGCCGGAGATGAGAGCTAGACGGTCCGATCCTCTCTCCATGATACGGCGTCGTCGCGCCTCTCTGCTGCTCGTTGCCATACCTGTCTACAATTGAAGAGAGAGATCATTAGCTCATCCTACTTCTGGATTGCTTACGGTTCGACATTCTCATTCTTCCTATTTTGCCCTTCGACTTTCTTATGTTTTGCCATTAGTGTCCAATTTATCTTTTTATGTTGTTCTTGATCCATCCCACCAAAAATAAACCCGAATTCCTACGATCACCTGTAAAATTATAGGTATTAGTTTGAAAGATCAAACGATGTTCGAACTCTAACATTCAAGTCCACATTCAATCCCACACCATTGAATTATCCTATCTGTCCCCCACCATTGAATTATCCTATCCGTGCAGTCTTCTTTTTTTTTTTTTTATTGTTTTACCAGTTTGCATAATTTAATATTTCTATAACATATAAAAACATACAACGGGATTATAATTATTAATAGATTGAATTTGATTAATTAAATATTAATATATCAGTAGTTCCAGTCGACTACAATCCTATTGAATTTTATATTTATACAAAGAAATAAAAAAAATAATTAAAGAAATTGAGTTGAAACAACAAAGTCCATCAATAGATCAAAAATTTTGAATCAGTTAACAGTAAATGTGACTAAGAGTCACCCACCCCCGTGCATGTCTAATTATATCTATAATCAGGATTCAGAATTGCATGATGTGTTTTTTTGTGTGGGTTTAACACACCATTAGGAATGGACTTGATTNAATAATTAAAGAAATTGAGTTGAAATAACAAAGTCCATCAATAGATCAAAAATTTCGAATCAGTTAACAGTAAATGTGACTAAGAGTCACCCACCCCCGTGCATGTCTAATTATATCTATAATCAGGATTCAGAATTGCATGATGTGTTTTTTTGTGTGGGTTTAACACACCATTAGGAATGGACTTGATTATGGTACTGAAAAAAAAAATTAATATTTTTAAATTTATTATTTTAATAAATATATTTATAATTTTTGTAGGTCATTTTATAATAAAAAAATTTATTAATTTTATGGGTATTGTTATCAAATTGTTGTAGTAATTTATTTTTAACGCTTTTTTTAAGTACAAACAAAATTATTACTTTTGTGGGTTATTTATTATATNATTTTTAAATTTATTATTTTAATAAATATTTTTATAATTTTTGTAGTTCATTTTATAATAAAAAAAAATTATTAATTTTATGGGTATTGTTATCAAATTGTTGTAGTAATTTATTTTTAACGCTTTTTTTAAGTACAAACAAAATTATTACTTTTGTGGGTTATTTATTATATTTGTGGATATTTT